CAATGAAAAACCGAGTGTAAACTTCCGTTTCCTCTCTACAAATAATTAAAAAATGGATTGAGAGCATTTGACGATAAAAAGATTCAGATGCAGCTAATAGAACTGTTACAATTCGCTGGACATCGGTTTAAAAAAAATACAATACCATAGAAAACGGGCGACAATATAAAAAAGTTTGGCACGAGCTCGTCGCCGCCACACGTGATCATTAGCAGCAAAAAATTCTCACGAATTTAAGATGGTTGTGAAGTAAGACAACGGTGAAGAAATAACATAGAGGTTACGGATTATTGCACGCAACAATTCATTGTCTTCAATTTAGATTGATCGTGTGCAGTGTTAAATTGAAATTGTAGGTCCCTTACCAAAAAATTAAATTCTCTGAACAAACATAAGTTGTAAAAAATTTAAAGCATTAACCAGAAAAAAAGTCATAAAAAATGAACTCAATTCCATTTGAAAGTTAATAACAACAATAACAAGCGAAGAGAGAGCAAAGAAAGGATCTTTCCTGTCTCTCGTGTGCCACAAAAAAAAAAATAATCTTGATGACAGGAAAATTTGGCGAAAAATAACATTAGAGCTCTTTGAAGTTTAACGTACACGGCTTGATAATTGCAAATTGACCGAATTCCAAGTCATCGCCGAGAAATACAGAACGAGAAAAAATCTAAGTGTAACTTACCAAATTTGTTTATTCTATGCATGTCCGTGTACTCTTCGCCAGAAAAGGTTAGCTTCACTCGACTGTTCTTTCCGACGACAAAATTTCGGCTGTTATTTCTACCGTCCTCCGAAGAAATTCGGCGATTGAATTGTGTTACAGTAACTCTTCCAGGCCGAGTGTCAATATCCGCTGATAGCTTTCGAGAAGGAGCCTCGGTTTCATTTTTGTTTAGAGCATCTAGATCAGCGGACAGCTTTCGGAGGGCATTCATTTTTTCCTCTTTCCTTAAGACATCGACTTCAGCGGATAGCTTACGGCTTTCTTCATCTCTCTGCATGGTTTCGGAATCGAACGAGACTTTGCGGGGGTGCGAATGGACTTTAAAGTCTGATGAATGTTTTTTCATTGCTGATAGAAGAGCATGCGGTTTCTCATTCACTGCCTCCTCAACGAGCGGTGAGACTTCCATTGCAGTGCTATTCATAATTTTCTCGGAGGTAGCAAGGTCGGAATTATCAGGGGCTTTAGTGACAATAATTTTCCTCTGTCTTGAACCGGCAGCTACAGGAGCCGGAACTACCGGCGTTTCAAGGCCTCGATTCGTACAGAATTTTTCAAAAATGTCGTCGTCCGAAATATGCAACTCAGTTTTTAGAAGTGGGTCGTCGTGGTCTACAAGCAGATCAAATTCTGCTGAAATGTCTGAATATCTGATGCTGCCAGCACTAGAATATGATTGGGAAGAATCAGTGCGGACGCCAGTAGAACGAATCGTGTTAGTCGTTTCATTTTCATCGAAATTTGTATTAATCATGTCAACTCGTTCGGCTCCGCCCGGCATGGTCAAGATGTTTGAAGCTAATGCTTCATCATTCTGGACTGCGTCCTCTTCACTCACGGACTCGGTTTGCTGGAGTTGTTCCGTAAATTTATCTTCGCTGACCAAGATACTCCCGTCTTGTGAAACAGTAACGTGAAACGTCTCAGCTATGCAGTCCATTTCAGAAGCGAGTTTTTGATAACCGATTGAAGATAGAGAGTCAATAGCTTTGGTTGCGGAGTCAATACAGGATGAAATCTCAAGATTGGTTGAAGGTGTTTTTTCTTCAACTGAGCTGGTGATTTTTTTTGCTTCGGTAGACGCAGTTGGTTCGTGGGTGCCTATATGAACAGTTGTGCAGGTTTCGATATGATGTTTTGCTTTCTCATCGTTTAATGATGTGGTTACTTTCGATGCTTTTTCTTGTTTCGAGGACATTTCGTCACCCACCGTGATAAATGTGTCTGAAGATTCGAAAAATGTTGATAACTTCGCGTGGCTAGTAGAAGAGACACCATCCAACTGAGTGGACATTCCAGTGGCGCAGCATGTGTCTTTCATCTGATCGATTGTAACGTTTTTGTCGCTTGTATTGGAGCCACCGTTTTCTAAGTCCAGACACGGCGATTTGAAAATAGTTTTAGTTTCAACGGTCGGAGAATCGGATAATAATTTCCTGAAATCATCCTCCGACATCTCGAAATCAGAAATATCTAGTGAGTTCACTAGATCATCGAACACTCTAGATTCACGTGACTGATCACAAAGATTATCTGAAGTTTTGGCAAAATGCAAAGATTCATCGTCACTAGTCTTGTTATTGATGTCAGAGCAATTCTTCAATGATGCAGACGTCTCGATGTCGGGCGAGTAACTTGCTTCCAATTTGTTGCACGACGTCTCGTTTGCCTCAACTGCATTTTTGGATTCCAAGGAGCTCATGTTGCAGTCGGCTTCATTCTTGATTGCGGGATCTAGGCGTTCCATATGTACGGCACTAACTTCATCATTCTGAATTTTTGAAAATAATTTACTGAAATCATCTTCAGACGCATCTATGTCATTTTTACTCAGAGACTTCAACAACTCACCAAAAACTTCTGTTGCACGTGAACATTCAGTAGTATCCATCGAGCCTAATTGCTCATTTTTTTCTCCAATTTGGACACGTCGTGAGTTCGTTACTTTTTCCAGCTGTGTAAGGCTGGAAGTAGAAGATAGCTGGAATGTTGACTCAGTAGTCTTGCTCAAAGATTCGATTAGTTGATCAAAGTCCAGGGATTCTCGGGATTTTCCGTCACAAATTTTTGAGGATAATGCATCGTTCTTGGTTGTAGTGGCGTTAGAAGAGCCGCTTGCGGAGACCGTGACTGTTTTCTGAGTCTCTGACACGGAGTTTCCAAGGAACTGGGAAGGCAAAGTTTTTATTAATGAAGGTTTATCTTTCGACAAGGTAGTACCACTCGAGTGAATTGACGTAGATACCGAAGTTCGGTCGTTGGTTATTGAAAACGAGCCTCCAGATTCGAGAGAAGCTAATTTATGTACGAACTCGTCTTCTTTCACGGTAACATTACTCGAGTCTTGTGAAAATCTGAATTCTTGTTCCGTACTCGAGATGATTGTTTCGGAAACTACCGTTAGAACGCATGTGCTCACCTCTTCCGACTGCACTGACGTATAGGACGCAAACGATTCCGAGTTTGTTTGGTGGCTAGTTTTCGACTTGCCAGTCTTTTTGTCAATAACTCCAGCCTCGTAATGATCCGATAATTTCACAATTTCTGCGTCTAACTTTTCACATTCCTTTTCCATCATAGATGACGATGACTGCGACACAACCGACTGGTTGGACGAAATCTTCTGTGTACTGGTGGTCTCCGAGGTCCTTAGTTGGTCCCTATATGATGACTCACACGTACTTACTTCCTTCACTTGTAACTCGCTCGTTCTAATTGAAGTATGGTACGAGCAGCTTTCTTCGGCTGTGGGATAAATAATCTCGAGCACCTTGGCGTTTGGAGAGCTAAAAGAATTTTTGTCAACCTGTTCTTCGTTGCTTTTACAAATTCTCTCCGTTTCGTTGACCGACTGTATGGAACCCCTGGAACCACTCTCGAATAATTCAAATGCATCACCTTTAGGATCGTACTGGAAGTCCGCAAGAATTTGGCCCAAGTTGGTGGTCTCTGAAGAATACAAATCGAATCCTTCATCAGTCTTTGTTGTAAAATATGAGGCCTCATTCAAGGCTCTCTTGGAGTTTTTACCGTCAAGCTTACTTCCATGACAGTCATCAGAATCGGTGGTCTCTTGACTACCGTCGTCGGGTCGATCTTTCTGTTCTTTCAACGCACTCGATCCAACTGAACTCTCACCCGCACAGGAAGTTTCGAGATGAAAAACTTCGCACGTCTTCCCGAATAGATGACACCTATCGCATCTTCTGTTTGGAAACTCGGTAAGAAAATCGTCGAAAACACGGTACTCTTCATCAAGCTCGGCGTCATTCAAGAGCGAAGCAGGAGAAGAGGTTGACTTCTTTCTTCCCTTACTTCCTTCTGAATCCTCGTCCATGGCTCAAAACGACCAAGACCATCCAAAGAGCACAGTTCACCGCAATATATTGCACGTACTTCTCACCAGTAAACTCGCTGACGAAATGCAACGATCGGTAAGACAGCGAGCTTCCTTGTGATAAGATACCTAGATGATAAGCGAGATATCTCGAATCCAGATAAAGAGATACACGAATTTAATGCAGAAAGTCAATGTTTCAACATACAATTGGGAACCCAAGAAGGAAATGATTATTTGAAATTCTTCGCGTAAAATTCAACGCAGAGAAGGCAACTAATTACCTACTCTTTGAACATTGATATACCTACCTCGTAAATAATCAGTTCACACGTAGGTAAAATGATTATTGCAGCTACTGATAAATAATAATAATACATTATTTATAATGATAAATAATAAATAATGCACTCCATAAATCATGGCAATAATAATAAAAAAGAGTTCCTGAAAAACGGCCGAAATATTTGAAAAAGTATAATCGATCTTAAAATAAATTAAGGAAATATTCTCATTCGAGGAACAGCCAACAAAATCATAACAAGTAATCAGATCATATGAACCGCAGACTCAATTTAAAACATATTCAAACAATAAGAATACAAACATAAATAAAACAATACTTTTTATTTATGACATAAAAATATGCACGGAATAATTCTTATTCTTATCAAACAGACGAATACACAAATCTACAAAAAAAAAATAGAATACGCAATCCAAACCGGACCAAACGTTTATTCCGAGGGTAACACTGAATTATCATCAAAATTTGTGCAAATATTATTATGCAAGAATATAACCGCCAAAACGTGCTGAAAAAATAATATGAATACTTGTTTGGAATGAATAAGTATGAAAGTTATGAAAAACACACGTTAGTTCAAGCAGAGGCAAAGAAACATATGAGAGGAAATCACACGCCAAACGGCGTACCTATGAGATGGTAGATGTTGAGAGTGTAGACAATACCTTTGAATTTAGAGAGCGACTCTTCGTATCCTCCGTAGGTCTTGAAATCTGCTCCGGTAGTATGACCGTCGCGCATTATGTGGGTGCCACCGTTCTGCTGAGCTTCGTATGGATTTAGCCCCAAGCGGTCGCGATAAAACTGTTTAGACGAAGCCATAGTGATGATACAATCGCCTAGTTGCACGGAAGCAAATCAGATATTTGCTAACACTATGTTTCAAACAACAGTAATATCCGAGCCAGCAAGTTGGTTGTTACAACATAATTTGTCAACAGACCAGTCCCATGTTACTAGGAAATAATGTTTCGACACAGAATCAGTCAACTGGGACCTGTATTGACGATACTTCACATCGGTTTGAGGCTTACAAGCCTTCACACACCATGATGAGTCATCAGTAAACAATCAGATGCAAACTTTCAATTTCTAGAGCGCATAATGAGCTCGCGCATCGCACGCTTACACGAGGAGAGTCGCACGACAATGATTTGCGGCGGGAAATTGATGTTCCGCGAGATAATTTCAACAATTTGAAAAGCACACGTAAGTCATTGGTTTACCAAGCGACGCAAGTGTAGCAGTACAGCGGCAGCACCGGCACCACTAGAGTCTGGAGCAATAGATGTTACAGCTGAGACGGACCAGCAGAACTACTATACTCTGGACAATCCTACGCCAACCTACACTCTTGCCACCTACGTTAGTGCCCACCACACCTACACGGCATCCTCCACCTTGAGAACCACGAACCTATCAGCAACAACACTTCGTTGAGTCGGGGGGTAAGAAGCCCCAAGTTTAGGTGTACGTCGCACGACCCTCACAGCCGCACTAACCTCCGACCAAACCGCCGGCAGTCGGCACACTAGCAAGCGTCATGTTCAAGCCGCCGCCGTCACCGCTGCTGCTGGTTCTACTCGCCACCTGCCTCACACGCTACATGCGACGCCGCAACTCTCTCCTTCACTCTCTCTCTCTCTATTGCTCTCTCCATACCTACATTGTACAGTTTTATATTATGACCCCCAGCATAACGAAGGTTTTAGATATAGCTAAAGCGCAAAGCAAACTTCGTGATTTGACGAGCAGAGAAGACTTAATATTTGCATCCTAACACAACGGTTTGCCTAAAAATCACTTCGAAATTTACGATTCGGATGCGATTACACAATTTTAGAAATATTAAGTAGCACAAGGAATCTTTCAGTGCTCCATAACCTATACGTATGCACGTAAGATGCACGCGATTAAATTTCGGCTTCCATGGAGGGCATCACGCGGGTTAAATGCGTCGCTTACGTATATAGGCACTCCATTTATTAACAATAATACGTATTACGTACTCCATTTATTAAACAGTAAGAGTTCTGATCCACACTATGTAAAGATTGGTTAGCAGGGCGGATTTTTCTTCCCATGATCCGCATCCAGATCAGACTCCTGAGGACGGAGCAGCTTTCATCGGCTCTTGATCTCTTGTGTCGCTAGGCACGAGGCTGACGTCGCATCAACATCAATGCCCGCGGCCACGTTGGACCAACAACAACACCCGCGGCTACGTCGGACCAACAACAACACCCGCGGCCACGTTGGATGGCCACGTTGGATCAACAACAACACCCGCGGCCACGTCGGACCAACAACAACACCCGCGGCCACGTTGGATCAACAACAACACCCGCGGCCACGTCGGACCAACAACAACACCCGCGGCCACGTTGGACCAACAACAACACCCGCGGCCACGTTGGACCAACAACAACACCCGCGGCCACGTCGGACCAACACCAACACCCGTGGCCACGTCGGACCACCGCCAATGACCGCGGCTACGTCGGACCGACGCACCCGGCCCGGCTTGCCAAGCTCAAAATAATGCAAAAATAAACTGAAAAGTTCGGAAGGCAGTAATCTTGAACAAGAAGAATAAAAAATTGAAGTAAAAATTTCGGACGCTGTGAGAAAATAATAGACTCAAGAGATGCAATACCACAGTGAAAGAAGGGAAAATAGCAAGTTAAAACCGGAATTACTTTAGAAGCGAAAAAATTTGGATGAAGTAACGACAAATGATGAACCACGAGATAACCCTATAAGAATCTACGTAAGAAGTAGTTTTGAATGGAACGACCAGCAAATCGGAATACTATGTTCAAATATGTTCCATGCGGTTAATTTAATTCTTTCGACAGAATACTTGCTATGCAAATGCACTGTAATTAAAAACTCGTTGAATTCTTGATGGAGTCGAGAGCAGAGCTTAGACACCCTAATTTCCTAACCACCATTACCAACGCTACCTCAGCCAGAATTTCAAGTGAATCAATTACTTGGGTAATTAAGTTCATACAAACGAGGTAAATAGATTGGCTGATTTGATAAAAATCCGACTTTGGCTCAATCCGTCTTTGGTTCACTGTGGCTAGAGATAAATTTTACTTCAATTGCTGGCATATTCGAAGGACATCGAAAACGGAAGACAGGATAACCGGCAAACCACAAAATTTATTTCTTTATCTCTGCCCATTATTCATGATTATTTACATGCATTTAATTCCAAAAAATTCAGAGAACAACTGAAAGTTTACCGTGTTCAAAAAATCGACTACAAAAACTTGCGTATAATCAAAATTCATCAATATACAAAAACAAATGCACAAGTGAAGGAACACGAAGTTTAAACACTTTCACGAATATATAAACTTAGCTCATCAAAAAGACATTTCTGAGTAAATTTATCGAGGAATAAGAATTTAAGAAACGTACAAGCCGAAACGCCACGTCTCTTTCTTCCTAACTAAAAACACTGCATCAGACAACAAGCTTAATAAATTTGCATGGAGATATCTTCAGCTCCCGATACACTCATTCAACTTCCCCCACAGCACAACACTGGGTCAAGTGACCACGAAGAGACACCAAGGAGAACTGAAGAGTCACCGTTAAGAGGTACTCCCGCAAGGTAGATAAGAATGTTTTTCACTCGAGCATTTCCGTTCACATGCGGCACGCATCCTGCGCAGGAGGGCCAAGTACGCGGGAGGCAGGCAAATAGGTCGGCGGCCTTAGCTGCCCGTGCCACATTCTGATGTCTCTGAATCACGGCTGAGTCCTATTCGTCCGGAGATGTAATCATTGACTTGGGTAGTGAGCATTAGGCTTTCGACAATACGGAGAAATTATTCATCGAATCACACTTTTAGATTTATTTCGAGAAAATGATATCTAATAAATGAATAGATGCATAGATTGCATACAGTAAAGGTTAGTTAATGGATGTCTGTCCGAGCTGGGAATCTACTTAAGGTCCCGCCGTCTTGAAGAATGGCTTTAGTATCAGGGCCCATCATGAACTGCCTTCTAATGTGGGAAAGCTATTTCTCACTAATCGACTATGACTAATCCTGATGCGGATATCAATAGTTTTAAGCCATTCTCAACGAAAATTAATTACACGATTTATTCCACTTGTATCACTTCACGAACGCAATGCAATATTCACACATGCATCCCCCTGCAAGCACTTAATTGAACTGACCCGCATGCCCAAAGGCTCTCTTTCTTCGTGTTCAATCGTCAGAATTTTGTAATACTGAAATTCATGTGAAACTGGAGCCATGCACACTTGTTATGCTAAAATTCGTCGTTATGCTTTTTCAGAACCTAAATTTTAAATTAATTCTTCAGAGAAAGAAAAATCACAAGCGGTTAGGCGAGTAGGTATTAACGTAACATTCACATTAGCACATTTCGAGCTCAATTAAGCCTCGTGTTCATGACGAACGCATATTATTATTTGTGGCTTGGCCGAGTGCCTGAATTACAAGATCAATAAAAAGGTCTTACTAAGAGTTATTTTGTGTTTCAAGTTTTTTAGCTATAATTGAAATTTATATGGGTTTTTGCAGAATATAACAATTCGGACTCTTCAATGAACATTTAAAAAACATCAAATTGTACGAGCAAGACGTCACGCTAAAAAATTTCCAGGTGACGCAGTACCAAAATGGTTCCCTTATTTTTGATTTCAGTAATTTTTTTAAATAGCTATGGAAGAATCTAAGAACTTCATAAAAAATGGACATTGCCCATTTATACCGTACGATTCATTTTCGAATTTGTTATCCAGTTCATGAAAGTTATACCATTGGGAAACTCATAAAGAAATGAACTTCATTCCGTAAGCTGCCTCAATCGTTGGGGTTGGAGACTTTTTCACTTGCTGTAATATGAATGAGTACAATTGAAGGCCCCTCCACCCACCGTCACCTAGACTGATGCATGACTAAGACTTAGGAAACCATGACTCGATATAACATGTCTGGGCGCAACCACCATGCGTGTACGAATGTACTTAATACTTGTGCATAGACACGAGTACACCAGTCATATATGAAGTACGATATATTACTGCAATACTTCATCATCTATGAGGAAATCTTTTAATATAGTATCACTATTAATTTCCGCCCATTGACTATCAATTAGTTAAATTTAATTTTAGGCTGCATAAAACCTTTACCATTATTATTGGTTACGAAATATTCCCTTTAGATAGATGCCAAACTTGAGCCTTCTCTTTACTCCTAAGATGCTCAAGTATGACAAATTGCGAATAAATAAATTTAGAGAGAACATAATGAAGGTAACTTTACATGAAAGGTTTAGAGTCAAATTCACCCTTGACACGGGGAAAGGAGATTATTTCTAAAGGGGTCCAGACTTCGCTGCACGGAAGGAATTTCCAGGTAAGGCGCAGGAGTGACGCTGGAATGCGAGGCGCGGCGTCACAGACTCACGTCATTGATGACGTCGCGAGGGGAGGGCGTGTCGGAGCCTGGGAAATGACTCGAAATGATGACGTACAGTGAATGCGCCCATTTAGAAGCAACGTCGTAACGATGACGTACAGTAGAGAAATGAACGAAGCCTGGGAAATGACTCAAAATGATGACGTACAGTGAATGCGCCCATTTAAAAGCGACGTCGTAACGATGACGTACAGTAAAGAAGTAAACGAAGCCTGGGAAATGACTCAAAATGATGACGTACAGGACTCTGCGTATTTACGTCGGGACGTCGTAACGATGACGTAGAGTAAAAATATGAAAGGAGATGGGAAATGACAAAAAATGGTGACGCTCAGTGAATGCGCGCGTATGAATATGAGG